GAACCTGCCAGCTCTGGTGTATGTGGCTGGCGCCCTAGCCGCTGAGCCACAGGTGCCAAGCCAAAATTCACAGTCTTGATGATGATTTGTATGTATGATGATACTTCATCAAACATGAGGTTGGGGCAGTAATTCTATCATCTATTAATTTTACAAGTCTCTCTCTTTTACCTACTGCCACTGGGCACCATGAGAAACTATACCAGTTTTGTTGATAATGGGCAAAGATAATCGCTTTAAGGTATTTTTTCTGCTTTATATTAATCTCTTGATTTAGTTCTATCTTTTTTTGAGACAGAGTCTCACTCTGACACCCTGAGTAGAGTGCCATGGCATCATCAAAGCACACAACAACCTCAGTTTCTTGGGCTCAAGAGATCCTCTTGCCTCCACCTCCCGAATAGCTGGGACTATAGGCACCCACTACAATGCCCAGCTAGTTTTTCTGTTTTTAGTAGACACAAAGGTCTCACTCCTGCTCAGGCTGGTCTTGAACTCATGAACTCAAGTAATCTACCTGCCTTGGCTTCCCAGAGTGGTAGGATTACAGGCATGAACTACCATGCCTGTTCAGTTGTTATCTTTCAGTGGCACTAAAGAAGCCATTTTTTAAGTAACATTATATTTGTTATGAATACTTCTAATAAAAATGGGAAGTTGAGCCATATTTTTAGCAATGGTACTGTCATTCATTGCCAAAGCATAAAATTTAAAGTTAGCAGCTTAACTCTCCAAACTTTTGGTAGATTTTCCAATTTCTTCAGTTTGCCTAGCTATAGTCTGGTGAGACAAACTGATTTTAGAAATATCCCCCTTTTTTTCAAGGCAAATTATATCTACCATGCTTTCCATACATTGCTTGTAAACTCACTATCAGTAAATGGTTATGATTTTTTTACTATTAAATATGCTACCATATAACTAGCTTTTGTAATGGAATCCATCTAAGTTGTAACTTTTTAAAAAATGTTTTATTGACAAGATAGACTTTTTTTAGCTCTGTTATTTGGTTCTTACAACACAACCCTCCATACACATCAAATTTGGCAGCTTGTATTTGCATATAATGCCTTTTCAAATTATAGTCTTTGGAAACTTGCGTAAATTCCCTACAAATTAAGCAGAGTGTCCTACTGTTTGTGTTGACAGAAAAGTAGTCATTTGTCCACTTTTCATTGAACAATCTTCTTTATCCACAATTTTTCTTTTTGTGGGTTCTGTTTTGTTTTGATATTTGTAAAGATGCTAGGATTTTTTAAAAATGTAAAAATAGATAAGGGACTATAATTTGATTGATTAATGATCTTTAAAAATTGTAGCACACTTAAGATCCCTTTATGGCACACTAGTTAAAAACCAGTGTTCTAAAGAATCCCCTGGCTTCTGTGTGGAAAATGGCCTGTCAGGAGTCTCTTGTGATCATGTGGGTATGTATGTGCCACTATCCCTGCTCCCCAGTGCTGTTGATTTAGAAACTGCCAGCAGGGAATGAGCTTGCTCTTCTGAGTTGTTCTATCAGCTTTAGTGTATGTCAAGAGACAGCAACTTTAGCTCCCTGCCTGGGTCACCTGGTGAGTTAGAAGGGAGGAGGACAGTTGCTCCAACACACATTTACTGACTGTTGCTTTGTATTGGAGACCAGCTCAGGGCTTTCTTGTGTCACCTCATCACTCCTGACCCGAACACCCAGCTACTTCCAGTAGGGCTCGAACATCTGTTGCCTCATGTTCCTGCAGGACAAGTCCTTCCAGAGTCCATCAAAGCAAGACCTAAATTCCTCTCTTTCTGGTTTTGCCAAAGTGTTCATGGCTTGATAGAAATCCTGGCGGGTTGGATTGACATTGAATAAATGTTAAATATGTTTATAAGCTAAAACTTGAATACATGCAGTCTCCAGGTTACAAACAAATTGGAACAGGTATATTTTCCTATTACCCATAATAGCCTCTGTTCATAAATATGAGTTATTTGTCAGGTGGACGTTTGTAAGTTGGGGACTTACTATAAGAGCCTCCATTTGTAAGCGTGAGATGTACATAAGTTGTATGTTTGTAACTCGGGGACTGCCTGTATAAAAATTCTCTGGGGATAATAGAATTAAATTTGTGCTTGAATTTCATATCAAAAAGGTCAAATTGAGATTAGCTCAAGTCATTGGAAAAGATTAGTGAGAAAGCAAAGAACCGAGCTCCCAAATCTCTGAACTCTCTGGAGTTCAGAATAGTCTGTTCCCAGAAGGTTGTAGAATGGACTGGGGCCTAGAACTCTGGGATGCTCGGGCTCCCCAGACCACCCCTGTGGTTTCCTGGAGGCAGTAACAGCCACCAGAAGTCAGATGTGACACAGTCTCTTGTCACCTAATTGCTAAGATGTGAGTAAGGTATTCCTGATTGAGTGTGTCACCCTGGTTGTGGCAAAACCGACTCATGTGGTCATAGCCATAATTGCAAAATGGAATGATGTGGATTCCGGGGCTAAGCCCCTCCTCACTGGAAAGTGGCAGACTCAGATTGCTGAGGTTTCAAGGTTTCACGCACTCTCTGGCCTTCATTGACTCAGATCTGCCTACCTGCCAAGCTTCAGTGGTGGAAAGACTAGTTGAATATATTTCAAGGGAACTAGGTGGGTAAGTTGGGGGTCTCCAAGACCACTTCTGGTTAAGCGATTCATCAGGACTCAGAACTCAGGAAAGCTTTTTATTTAAGATTAGGGTTTATTATAACAAAAGGATGCAGACTACAGTCAGCAAAGAAAAAGGTCATATGGGGTGGAGTCCAGGGAGAGACCAGGTACAAATGTCTAGTCATCCTCTCTCAGTGGAGTCACACAGACAGCACTTAATTTTCTCAGCAAAGACAATGTGTGACAACGTGTATAAAGTATCACCATCCAGGGAAGCTCTCCCAAGCTGTGGTGTCAGGTTTTCCTTGGTGGTCAGTCACGTAGGCACATCTCATCCAGCTATCTAAGTGCCCAGTTCCCCAAGACATCACATTGATACAATGTCATTTGAAGCCCCAGGAATAGGAAACCAGGTGTTCACTGTGAATCCTGCCCTTGGCAGGAACTAGCTACATGGCCCAAGGTCCTATGTGTATAGAAGGCTCTTATCAGGCAGGAGGTTCAAAGTTTCAGAGGTTATTTCCCAATAGCCATTCAAAGGCCAGTCCTGAAGACCTTGTGAATATGCCCTGTTTGAGGTGTCCCAGGCATTGAGGAAAGTGTTTGCTGCTTAGTGGCCCCTCCTTCATGTGGAACTATCCCTGACTGTGTCCTTGTGGAGTTGAAGGAAGCTCCATGGCACTGGGTCAGTGGCTTCCATTTTCTCTGTTTCTCTAGTCGTAGCTCCAGACTCAGCCTGCACCCAAGGTACACCCTGGCTAGTGCCAAGACCACTAGGGGTCGCTTCTGTGTAATTCCAGCCCAAGGCTCCAGCGTTGTGGTGGGCTGTAGCAGAGTGAGCGTCTTCTGCCCCATAGGTATTTGTTTGTTGCAGCCCCTGGGGCACAAGACTCAGGCTGTTCAGGTGGATGGTCCACCTGGCTTAGGGTGTATCCTACCTCCCCGCTGATGTCTGCTTTTCTCTCTCCTGACAGCTTCATGGTTAACAAGGGGGACTCCCACATGGACACCAGTACCACCATGTCTGAGGCAATGGTCGAAGAAGTGTCTCTCTTCAGCATGACAGACGTGATTCTGTTTTCACTCATTGTGGGTCTCCTGACCTACTGGTTCCTCTTTAGAAAGAAAAAAGAAGATGTCCCTGAGTTCACCAAAATTCAGACAGCGTAAGTGGGACTGCTCAGCACTCTTTCTGTTCCTCCTCTCCTGGTATCCTTGAGCACCTCTCTCCCCATTCCAAGCTCACCCCACACATGGGCCTCAGGCTGAGAGAGAAACAAGCTTCCTTGTTGCATTTCAGGTTGACTCTTGGGTTTTGCCTTATTAGTAAACTAAGCTTCAAACTTGCCTTAATCCCTTAGGTTTACACAGCACTTTAGAGTTTATAAGGTCCTTTCATATCTGCTGCTTATTTTAACTTCAGAGGGACCATTCAGAATAGAAGACACCGTTTTATAGACAAAGAATTTGAGACCCAAGGGTGGTAAAGGAGCCACTCAGAGTCATCAGCCAGCAATGGCATGCTGGAGCTGGACTTCGATTTTGTTTTACTCAGGGCCCAGTGACCCTTCCAATTTGTGAACAGTTCGGAGCTGTTTGGGTAGACTCTTAGAGTGAGATGGTCACTCCTTTCTAGTCCTTTCGATTATTGACAAGGGGAGAGTTGTGGTTTGTTATTAATTGTCTTTAATACCTAACACTTGTCCCTTTTGAACAAGCCACCTTAAGCTTAGAGCCTTGGGGAGGGACTATATCAAGCTTGACTTCACTAACATTGATTTGTTTTGATTTGATTGATTGATTTTTTGTTTTTTGGGACAGTCTCACCTTGTCACCCTGGGTAAAGTGTCATGGTGTCATAGCTCACAGCAGCCTCAAACTCCTGGGTTCAAGTGATTCTCTTACCTCAGCCTCCCAAGTAGCTGGGACTATAGGTGCCTGCCACAACACTTGGCTATTTTTAGAGATGGGGTCTCGCTCTTGCTCACTGGTCTTTTTTTTTTAATTTTTAATTTTATTGAGACAAGAGTCTCACTTTGTCACCCTCAGTAGATCTCAAACTCTTGGGCTCAAGTGATTCTCTTGCCTCAGCCTCCCTAGTAGCTGGGACTACAGGCACCTACTACAGTGCCCAGCTATATTTTGTTTGTTTGTTTGTTTAGAAGGCTCAGACTAGGTTCGAACCCACCAGCCCCGGAGCATGTGGCTGGTGCCCTAACCACTGGCTATGCCCCCTCCTCCCACCTACCCCCAATCAGGCTGGTCTTGAACCTGTGAGGTCAGGGCATTCCTCTTCCTTGGCCTCCCCAGAGTTCTAGGATTACAGGCATGAGCTACTGCGCCCAGGATTTGATTTTTTTTTTAAATCTTACGTAAAGCTTCCTTTTAAGAATAAGTAGAAAAGGCTCGGCGCTTGTGGCTCAAGCGGCTAAGGAACTAGCCACATACGCGTGAGCTGGCAGGTTTGAATGCAGCCTGGGCCTGCCAAACAACAATGACAGCTGCAACCAAACAATAGCTGGGCCATTGTGGCAGGTGCCTGTAGTCCCAGCTACTTGGGACGCAGAGGCAGGAGACTTGCTTGAGCCCAGGAGTTGGAGGTTGCTGTGAG